GTCTAGCCTGCACCAACTTTGCCAAATGTCCAAATGTCCTAAAGCCTGCACCAAGGAAGCCCAAAGGATGAGGGTACAACAGTGCAGTTATGGCCATCATGCCTGACACTGCACATTTCACACTCCACCTTCTCCAAAGCAGAGAACTTTGCATCCTTTTGTCAAAAAGACTGACTTTATATTCCGCACCTTCTGTTTCTGAATGGGCAGCCTGCGGTTGCCATGAGAGTCCCTCTGCCAACACTTCCTTGCCAGGAGCCTGTCGAGGACATCGTAGTCATTCCCTAGTTACCCATGGATCCCTAATTTGGCAGCACAGCCTGCAAGGCTTATAACAGATCCACAATCATGGCATTCTCCTGGCAGTTCGTGTGGCACATCTCCTGCCAGGTGGTAAAGTAGCCATAGAAACCGGCCCTTTGCAGATCAGAGCCTAGGGAGTGCTTCATGAAGGAAGTTCTCCACTTTAAGTGTTTAAGAAGTGAATACAAGTAGAAAAAAGAGAGAGACGAAAGGGTGAAGAAGAACTAAAAGCCCAATCTAGCCTTCAGAATTACCCCCATTCACATTGCCCTTGAGGACTGGGAACGGTCGGGTCAGCTGCCCTGAGATGAAGGTAGCTGAGCAATCTGGGACATCCCTGGGAATTTGATGAAAGAGGGTTTTATTTGTTTGCTTTTAATTCTCCTACTGTTACTCTGAGATTTCTAAGATACTAAAATTAAGGCCAGGGTGGTTGAAGCTATAGAGTTTGGTTTGGGTTTCTGTTTTGTTTGTTTATTTTGCCAACTTGACTTTCTGCTAGCAACTTATAAACCTCACCTGTAGCCAAGTAGTTTCAGCTTTTTGCCAGAAGAATTGCTAACTCACAATTTTAACCTGCTCATAATGTATCTGTCACACTTAGAGCTGTAGAAGTGGTGCAGGATGGGCTAGAACAGGCAGACCCAAAATTTTCCCACAATGAAGTGCTGCCACACCCAGCATTCAGTGTTGTCTAGGTTAGATTTTCACCTGAATGTGTGTGTGAAGGTAGTTTGATGAGGTTACTACAGGCAGACCGTGTACCCAAAACTAGAGTGATTGTTTTGTATATGCATGTACCAGGCATGTGCTTGGCATTCCTCCCCAGGACAAGAGCACAGCTTTATCCCAAAGTACAAAGGCACTAACCCTGGTAATGATATCAGAGGAACAACTGGAGCCTCTTTGGAAACAAGAAAACAAGATGTTGCAAGCCCAGGAGGCTTCCCTTTGCCTGCAATTTTATAGGAGCTTTGCACTCCCACCTTCACGTGTCACTTGAGAAGCTGCAGCAGCTGGAGTTTGCTTCCAGTTTCCTTGTCTGACTACAGAATGGAGGAAGAAACCTGGAGAGATATTCCCAGGAAACCAAGCAGCAAAGGGACAGAACCCGCATGGATGCCCCTACTCCCCCAGAGCGACAAGACCATCGATGGTGCAGCCTGGCCTTTCCAGTTCGTCATCTCTGAAGACCTAGTCATAACCCTCGCCTCATGAGCAGGACAGGGGAAACAGAGGCTAGCTGACTTTACCACAGGTCCTCCACGGTCCTTTGTTTTTCTCATGTCAGCCAAGTGCATCCCTGTGCCACCGCATGTTGCTGCTCTCTGTGACCAGCATCAGCTGCAGATGCAGGTGCTTCTTACCCAGTAGCAGATAACCAGCATCACCCCTACCACTTCGAGCCAATCCACAGCACGGTTGGAACTGTCTCCCATCCCACAAGAGGAAACAGAAGAGATGAATAGCAAACGACTACTCTCCACAGGGGAAGACAGACCATGACAGGCACTTAGGAACAGTCACAGCTCTATTACTGCCTCCCACCATCAACCAGGGGTGGGAGTGGGGTGGGGGAGAGGTGGGAAGAGGCGGCAAGGAGCTCATAACCGGCAGTGTTCCCTGTAAATTAAACATCAGTTACCTTCTGTGTCCATCTGCTGTAATTGAAGGCAGGAAAAGTGTCTTGGTGATTAACTAGCAGTAGTAAACTTTCTGATCAAAGTGTGTATAGAGAGATTACGCTTATAAATAAGCATCTGCAAAGTGTGTATGTCCTTGAGGGTGGGGAAGACAACTAAAACATAGGTATTTAGTGTGTGCTAAGTACAAGGGGAAATAGCTAGGTTGAGCACATTTGGGGAGCAAAGGTCAAATGAATAGTTGGGCTCAAGTAAGGAATCCCACAGATGACTTTTTTTTCTACCTTGTTTTGAGAAGGTTTTCATTCTTTCCCCACCTCCCCCAAGTTCAAACATACGAGCACATCTCTCAGGAGAAAAGGGGATTAGTCTTTTAATAGTGGACAAGAGTTGCCTGCCTCCTGATACCTGGGGACTTACTTTGTCTTAAACAACTTCTAGAAACTTCCACCTCTGCTCTCAGTCCTCCCAACGTGGCACTTGCCTCGTATAACTCCTTGCCCACTTCTGTATTCTTTGTCCCCAACCTAAGACACACAGAATTCATTGAAATAAAGTCAAACTTTTCAATCGTTTTGAAGCCCATGGCAACTGAAGACTAGTTAATTTCATTCCCATGAGGGGAACACGACTGGCAAGTGTTGCTATTACTTGGCCCCAGAACATTTGAGTGTTTGCGGTGGGGTTTGTCTCCTTGGTGTAAAGTGCGATCCTGCAGCAGGAAGAGAACCCAGTACCATGCCCACCCCTCGTCATCAGTGTGACTGGTTTTAGTCACCATGGAAACACACTCCTGGATGTGTCTGTGGTGATGTCTCCAAAAAGGATTACCTGAAGAGAGAGGCCCAGTCCTTAATGTGGGTGGTACCATTCCATGGGCCAGACCTCAGACCAGTAAAAAGAAAAAAGCAAGCCAAGTGCCAGCATTTGCCTCTTCCTGCTTCCTGACTGGGGATGCCATTCGACCAGCTGCCCACTCAGTCCTGCCATCATTCCTTCCGTGCCGTGAGACTGTGTCCTCAGAAGAGGAACCAAAACAAGTCCTCCCTTACGTGATTTGTGGCAGACGTTCTGTCGCTGAATAAGAACAGTAATCAGTGCACACCCCACATGCAGCACTTTCATCAACAAGCTGTTTCTTAAAAGGCAAAAAAGTTCCCACAACCACATTCTGCCTGGTGGAAAGAACTTTCGGGATACTAGAGGCTGCACTGTCTGTGGCCGGCAACCCTTGGACTGAGGCAGGCTATTCCTCGCCACTGCATCAGAGTGGACCTTATTAGGCATGTTGCTGAAGGGGCTTGCACATCATGCAGTGGACTAATTGGCTGCAGCACCTGCCTCTGACCCATCTCCATCCTCCAATTAGTCTCCCATCATCCTGCTGTCCAGGCGACCTGCTGCTGCCTCTGACATGGCATTTCTGTTGGGGTTTGGGTTATTCCATGGGCTTCCCAAAGCTAACTCCATGGAACACTTTAAACCCTCCACATTTTAATTGAGGCTCTTTTAATTAAAGCACTTTCCACGGGAGCCTCAGTCAGGAGTTATTTCCTCACATCCTTCAGTGCTTAGTCTCCAAGCAGAATTGGAAATATCGATGGAAATTTTAAGCCCTGCCCTCCCGCTGAAAGCGTTGTATCAGGTTTCAGCTCAGAAGAGTACCATTACCTTTAGCTGTCACGGATCTGTACACTTGATCGATAAACTTCAAATATTATTAGAGGTGGAGGCTTCAGAGATTTGCTCTGTTCTTTGGAGAGAGACAGAGATAAATCTTTCTTAGAAATTGACTTGAATTTGCACTCTCGGTCTTCCTGGTGAAACGCATTTCTCTTAGGCATCCAGCAACTACAAGGGGGGCAGATTTATAGGCCATGTGCTTCATGTACTGAAAGATTTAAATGGTAAATCCTTCACATATGACTTCACAAATCATGTAAAGTTAAAAGATTTTTACCGTTTCTGTTGCTGCTGTGCTTAAATTGTAAGGTACAGCCAGTAAATCATTTTAATGGAGGTGTCGTACTTGACTCAATAAAAAAAAGAAAAAAAGACAATGGTTTAGCTTCCACTCCAAAATGTTAATGTATTAATCAACGGGAGAATAATTGTTTTTTACTATGTTATAAATCTTAAGGTGCCATTAAGATTTCAGCAAGGGGTGATGTAGCCACATTCCTAAATTAAAATTGTTTACCCTGCCATACATCCATTCTGCATCGCCATAGCTCATTCTGGGTTCATTCTGAAGTTGTTCCCCAGCCAAAAAGTCAGAAAGGGACATCCTGAGGGAATGAGGCTTATAAGAGAAACAAATTACATTTTGAGGTATTAAATAACATCAAACCATCAGTGGCAATAAACAAGTATTCCTTCCTGTCTTATTGTGTTCTCTCTCTCTCTCTCTCTCTCTCACTCTCTCTCTCTTGCTCTCTCTTTTCTTTCTTTTTTTCTTTTTTCTTATTGAATTAGGTTTTAAGTTGAGGCTGTCTCCCTCACACTTTTAAATGTGGCAAGCATGTCATATGCCTCTAGTCTTATAAGCCTGTTTTTATCTTTACACAGTCATGCTTTCCCTACCCATGTTCATGTAAGGAAATAAGCTGTGGGGCGTCTGTTGTCCCCACTACCCCCACCCCCCAGTTCATGTGATAGCCTGAAGGTCTCATCCATAGTGCCCATGAGTAGTTAGGTCAGCCTCCTTAATTATTAGGAGCTGTAAGTTTCAGGATGTGTGTAGTGAGTACAAAGACCAGGTGAGGTCAGTAAGGATCCACAACTTTCCCTCCCCCACCACTCCCTAAGTTTCTTTCACAAGCAGTAGCACTCCTATGCAGCCTCTAATGAAATTGCCTTGTGGGGAGAACAGATCAATTCAGCCCTGGACAGGTCAGTCTGTTCCTTCCATGTAACTTGATCCATCTGGTTTGTTCTCTCTGACTCCTCCATTAAAAAAGAAGGTGACCTTCTGACCCTAGAGGCAAGTGTCCCTGGGGCTCCTGGTGTCTTGTAATGAGTTCTACATCCCTATTCCTCTTCTAATTTCAACAGATTCTCGAGCAGGTGAAGAGGGCGCCATTGGGGCAGTGGACCACGCAGTGATTGGCGGCGTTGTAGCTGTGGTGGTGTTTGCCATGCTTTGCTTGCTCATCATTCTGGGCCGCTATTTTGCCAGACATAAAGGTAAGCAAGGTACTTTGGCAGGCTGGAGCAACATATTGCCACAGCCCTAGAATTGGGGGACTTCACTGTTGTCATTGCTAGGCAGCTTGGTGTGATGGATGGCACAGCCTATGTGGTTCCTCAAATGGGGAGAAGGGGGCTTGGGAGGGTAAAGCAACCTTAGCAACTGCTGCTGAGGACTCTTCCTGAGGATTTGGATTCCCTCTAAATACAAAGCTATATAGGTCTGTTGTTTTCCAGTCTACATTTGGGGATAGAGTCAAAAAGGTAGGGGCTGGGGTGTGAGGAATGGCCCAAGCCCCGGAAGATGGTATGCGTGGCAAACATATCCACAGCCTGCTTGTTTCCCAGGAGACAGGAGGACCAGTTCGCTGACCCTGAACTCTGAGTAAACTGGTCTCCAGAATGTTTCCTCCTTGATGTGATGTGCTGGTTTGTTTTTTTTTTTTTTTTTTTTGTTCTTTTTTTTTTTAATCCTTTGCCTTAAAAGCCACATAAATATGTATTTTTTAAATTATCAGGGCAATTGATTTAAATTGCCATTAATCATCACACTTACCAACTGTGCAGACTGGATGGGCAATCATCCTTGCCAATGTTCTTCCTCTCTGCCTCATGCTGCTCTGAGCCTCTTCTCCCCTCCTGGTAATTTACCCTTTCTTTGTCGGCCCTTGTCTTTCTCAGTTGTTTTCTCAAGCGCTGTGCAATGAGCTTTGCGGGTACAGGGGCTTCATAGATGCTTGCATACTGCTTGACTGTTATTTAGGACTGGGGCAGGTCCCTGGAGCCCGGCAGTGGAGGACCAGGGTACTTAACAGCAGTCTTTAGGATCTGGAAGTGTGTGTCTGGAGCACAGAACAGTTGGGGAACCCTGGAGCTGTATGGCCCAGAACCTCTGCTTTTCAGTACTTAACTTGGGAGAGCTGGGAAGGAAGAGCCAGGGAGCCAAACAGAGTTTACACAGCATCCCTGAAGGATCAGAGGAAGGAAGCGTTTGACCACCTGCTTGCTCAGTTTATCACTTTAAAATCTGAAAATTCAGCAAAATGTCTCAGGCTTTTTGAAAGCATAAGAATCTTAAGCATTAAGAGTCAGAAAAATGGTAAGAGGGCTATCAGTTTACACCAGGCAGTTTCAGTTCCCACCTGCCTGCTATTCCCAGTCGAAGTCTTGTCTCTCTCTGGATTTGGTGATAGAAATGTCACCAACTGGGTTAATGTTCTGTCTATTGTCATTCTAAAGTGGCTGTGCCAATTAGCAAATCCATGAGTCCGGGTCCAGGCTCCAGTCATGGTGAGAAAGAATCCCTTGTTTATGAAGACAAGAGCCCAAACCTCAATTGCAGCCTTTACAATGTCAAATTATGTCCTCCATCTCATGCCCTACTCTGAAATGGAAGGCAAACCCCTATATAAGTTCAAGCACAGTCTCCCCTGTGGGTAGCCAGCAGTAACTCATGAAGCCAGGAGACTGGTGGGAGTAACTGATTCAGGATGACAGTAGAAGCATCATCAGGGCCCTAATTCATTTATTGGCTAATTGCTCTTCCTTGCTTTGGTCTTTAACCATGTGTGAACATCTCTGGTCATCGGTCTTTGGTGTTTACTGTTAATGCGTTAGTCAGCAGCTCTCCAGCTTTCTGCATTTTAGCCCCACTCACGTCTTCTTTTCTGGTCATAATCACTGCTCTAATGTCTCGTTTGCTGAATTACATCGCAGCAGCTCAGTTGGAGTGGTACCTTTGGAGCCCTGGATCCCCATCTGTCTCACCCACCTCGCTCTCTTCTTCCAATTGTTTTTTTTTCCCCTCTGCTGCCTGCACACCACTTCGGCTGATGATGGCCATAAAGCAAGTTGCCATCTCTGTACCACTTCACACAGAGGCCATCAGAGAGTCACAGTGCTTTACCCCTTCATCTTTCAGGTACATACTTCACTCATGAAGCCAAAGGAGCCGATGACGCAGCAGACGCAGACACAGCTATAATCAATGCAGAAGGAGGACAGAACAACTCCGAAGAAAAGAAAGAGTACTTCATCTAGATCAGCCTTTTTGTTCCAATGAGGTGTCCAACTGGCCCTGTTTAGATGATAAAGAGACAGTGATACTGGAACTTGCGAGAAGCTCGTGTGGTTTTTTTTTTTTTTTTTTTTTTTTTTTCTTTTTATGAGTGGGTGGAAAGATGCGAGACTGGGAAGGCTTGGGATTTGCTATGTAAAAACAAAAAGAAAAAAATGTTCTTTGAAAGTACGCTCTGCTGTTTGACACCTCTTTTTAATCTGGTTTTAATTTGGTTTGGGTTTTGAGTTTTTAATTTCTATTTCTTCCTACCAAGTCAAACTTGGGTACTTGGATTTGGTTTTGGTAGATTGCAGACAATTCTGTGCCTTGTTTTTCATTTGTTTGTTGTGTTTCTTTCCCCTTTCCCTTTTTTATGCATTTATTTTCCCCAAAATCAAGTTTTTTTTACCCCTCCCAAACCTCCCATTTTTTTGGAATTGACCTGCTGGGATTCCTAAGACTTTCTCCCCATTCTTGCTGTTCTCTGCTTCTTCTTTTTTTTTTTTTTTTTTCTTTTGTTTGTTTGTTTGTTTGTGTTAACGGTGACTGCTTTCTGTTCCAAATTCGGTTTCATAAAAGGAAAACCAGCACAGTTTAGATTTCATAGTTCAGAATTTAGTGTCTCCATGATGCATTCTTCTCTGTTGTCGTAAAGATTTGGGTGAAAAAGAAAAAAAAGAAAAAAAAAAAAAAAAAAAAACAGTGAAAACTCTTTGCTGCTGCCCATGTTTTAAATACTTAGAGCAGTGAAGACTAGAAAAGTAGACTGTGACTCGGAAACTGTCGTTTGCTGTGGATCTTCATTACTGTACAGGCTTATCTGCAAGTGAGGTGTGTCGCAATGAGGTTGAATCTGTCTTTAACTCTTTATCTGTAGGCGGCTCAGTATAGATTACCCCATGCTGTGCAGAAAGGTTTTGGGCTGGAAAGGTCTCCTCCTTCCTCATGGCCCTAAAGCAGACCCGACAGGTGAGGTCTGTCCGTTTTATAAGTGGACAAATTTGAGTTGCCACAGGAGGGGAAGCAGGGAGGGGATAAAACAGCTCTGCTCTGGTTATTTCTGCTATGAACAGTTCCATCCACCTTTCCCAATGGGCCTACTGCTCGCTGATATGCAGGAGAGAGCAAGTCCGTGTGTTGTGTGAATGACTGAAGGGGACAGATTTTTGTTTGTTTGTTTTTTTCCTTTTGTTTTTGTTTTCTGTTTTTCCTTTGTGCTTACTTAGGAGTGCAGTAGGATGTGGCCTGTATGTGCTGTATATTACAGACACTGTCCTGCTGGGACGCGTGTCCTGCTGGGATTTCCAACTCCAATCCCTGTGCTGCTCTCATTCCTTCAGATTTGGCTTGACAAAGGCAGGAGGTACAAAAGAAGGGCCGGTATTGTTCTCGAAAGGTCAGAGCTGAGGTGGAAAAACAGCATGTAGGGATTTTCAGTTACTTAATCAAAACTCAAATGTGAGTGTTTTTATCTTTCTACCTTTCATACACTAGCCTTGGCCTCTTTCCTCAGCCTTAAGAACCATCTGCCAAAAATTCCTCATCTCGCATGATGGCAGCCATAGCACATAGCTACTGAAATAAGTTACCTTGAACATATCTTAGACTGGAGCCTGGGGAAGGTAGCTGCGAAGTGGTGGTTTGCTGAGGCGTTAAGAAATCTGCAAGTAGTTCTGAAGGACAAAACCTAAGCTCTTCCCGCATGTGTGCGTAGGCTCCAGACTCCAACAGTCCCTATGGAAAGATGGCATCAGAAAAGATAGATCTATCTATATATATAAATATATAAATATATATTATATAACATTTTCAGTCAGTACTTTTGGATTTTGCAAGGTGCATTTTTACTATTGTTACATTATGTGGAAAACTTACGCTGATTTATTTAAGGGGAAAAAAGTGTCAATTCTCTGTTATTTGAAAGCGTGTTTCTTTTTCTTGTCTTTATTTAACTTCTGATAGAACCATTGCAATATGGGGGCCCTTTGGGAATGGACTGGTATGTAAAGGAAAATTCACTATCGAGCAGTGTTTTGTTGGCCCCTCTCCTGTCCCGAGGCACTTAACCAATACAAAAAGCCACAAGGAACATCCCTTTTTCACGAATTTTATAATGTGCATCTATTCCGAGCCCTTAGCACCCACCCTGACCATAGTGTGAACATATCAATGGGTGAGAACCAGTTAGCATGTCCTTGAAAAGGTTTTTCAGCTGTTCTTTTTAGAGAAAAAAAATATATAAAAATAAAAAAAAAAAAACAAAAAACCACAAACAAAACAAAAAATTCCATAGTTCACAGAATTGGCATCTCATCTTTGGGACCGCCCATCTTTCTGTTTTGACAAGTGTACAGTAGTGCAGTGTTCTGATGTAACTTTATGGATTATAATGTTGACATGTCTCAGGTTCCTGTGTTTTGATTGGTGTTTTTCCGTCTCAGGTAGATTGCAAAGTGTAGGCCCCACACATTGGAAAAAGAATAATAATAATAATAATAAAAACAAAGCAAAAACAGGAAATTACGGATTTTAGTTGTATATTGGTTTATGTATTTTTCTTAAGTATACAGTGCACTGTTTGAAATGTATTGTTGAGTATTACTTTGTACAGGTTGATCACTTTTTTTAGAGTGAAGAAAGAACAAACTTGTTTTTTTTTTTGTGTTTTTTTAAAGGAATATAAAATAATGAAGGATGTATAATTGATGCCAAATAAGCTTGTTCTTTAGTCACGACGTCTTGTTTTTCCCTCTAGGCCAGTTCTGTTTCTAAGGTGTACAAGGACCATGTTACAGTGTAAGAAATTCCACATCCGTGTGTTCCCATTCGCATTTTGTATCGGTTCATGTATACCATTTTTACAAAAAGAAAAAAGAAAAAAAAAGAAGTACTATAAAATATCTGTCTTCTTAATAAAAAAATTAATGTTACAAGTGACCCTTTAAATCTCTTTCTGGATTCTTATAACCCTCGGCCTCTGGTCCCAGCTTCCTCTCCTAGGACGTTGTGTGGGGGCCCAGAACACTGGCAGTAGGTGGCTGGGAAGTGACTGCCAGCCGGGTTTCTCTCTTTTGTCTGCTCATCCTTGTCCTGTCTTCCTCTTCTACCCTCACAGTAGACGGGAGAGTCCGGTGCTCGGCTGAACGGAGTCACCTCCAGTGGGCATGGTGATTTGTGCAGGTGTGCGGGGCACAGTTGCCGGGGATGGCGCCTCCTGTGGATGTGTCCACCACCACCCTCCCCATTTTCACCCACCACCCACCAACTTTCCTGTGTTGCCTTCTCCACCAGTCTCTTTCTTTTGAATTCATGTCTTAACAATTCACACTGCCTTCTTCCTTTTAAAATTCTTTTTCCTTTCACAAAATGAAGAGGTGAGCTGCTGAGGGCTGGTCCAGCTGCCTGCAGATTGTTCTCGCTTACCATTTAGGTTTTGGAGACTTCAGGCCCAGGTGGACTTTGAGATTTTGAGATTCAGCAGTATGGTATCATCATCTTTGCCTTGCAGGGAAAGTTAGAAATGACCGCAATTGTAATCCCTGAGCAGAAATCTGACCACCTCAAAGTGTCCAATCTCACCATTCACCCTCTTCTGTCTCAGTCAGGTAACCAGGAAGGTTTGGCAGGGAGAGACAAGGTAAGCTCCAGAAAAGATAAAGACTGCGCATCTCACTTTGGTTTCTTACATCATGGACTGGTCTCCATCTCTGGGCAGAACAGCACCAGCAAACAGAAGCAGCAATGCAGTCGCTGAGTGTCTAGCACCTGGAGACTGTGGGGGACACTAATAAGTGAAAGGGATCACTAGAGACTTGACTGAGGTGACCATTACCTCAGTGAGGAAGTGACCTCATTTGTAATTGTCACACCCTGTGTAAGAATACCTACCAGTAGAGATTTCTTGGGGAAGGGAAATGAGCAGAAGTTGGCAAGTCAGCTTAGTGGAAGAGCCAGGAGGCTGGCCTGGTTTTCAAGGACATTAGAGAAGAAAAGTGAGTTCGATGTAGAAGGTAGTGAACCTAGCCAGCAGATGGACGTGTGAGGAGTAAAGTGCTCTATAGATGGGATCCATCTTGTGCCTGTCCTCATAGTCTAGGCAGAGTTTTGAGATCTCACTGGCCTTTCCCAGCTTTTGCCAAAAGGCAAGGATCAACATGGAAAATGGCCTACCATATTTGTATAGGGCAAGGGTAATTTAGGATAGCATTCAAGATCAAGGGCTAGAGTAGACCAGCCTTGGTTTTAAATAACTGTTCCATCTTTACTAGCTGTGAGATATCAGGAGTGTTACCTAGTGCACCTGATCTTTGTCTTTTGCTGGATAAGATAGAATTTGTTACAAACTCAAAGGCCCTTAGGAGAAAGAATAGGTACAAGGTCTTGGGCTGGGAGTAGAGCTGAATGGTAAAGCCTGTGCTTAGCAAGCATGGGATCTTGAGTTTAATCTTCACCACCACCAGAAAGATAAGAATTTGATGCTCAGGCAATAAGGTTGCAGACAGGAAGTAAGCACTCATTACATGTTCATTATATTGTAATGTTGGTTTAGAAGACAAGGTTGTCCATGGCTATAAGAACTGGCTATTCTTCAAAGAAAGCTATCTCTGGACTCATCATGCTCTTGTGAATCTTTTTCATAGAGTATTTGAGAACTTTCTTACCATGATTCATCAAAGTGCTTACTTTTAGTTATTCTGAGCCACATGGCATGCTGTATGTGCAATGTTCTCATCCATTTCCGTGGCTATAGAATGAGGCTCCAGATTCAGCCTTAATGCACAGAGCAGGGACCGTAGTGGTCAGTGAACTGAGGCAAACACGAGGTGGCCATTTGGCTATTGAAACACAGTAGAGCATGCAAATGAAAGATGCCAGAAGCAGCTGAGTTAGTACACACTTGATAAGCTTCCTGTGTGCGTCTTGTTATAGCAAGAAAAACAAACAAACAGTTTTTGCTTCCTCTAGAGGGTTCTCACAAATGTTTGGCCTGGTTGTGTTCTCCAAATACATCAACTGGAACCCCGAGGTGTTAACCAGATATTAATTGGTGCTATCTTTCACTGTCCCCTGTCTAGCTGAAATGTAACTCTTATACCATGGACTTGCTCTATGGAGAACTGCTCCTCTGAGTCTATCACACAGAGCCTTAAAGCAATCGTGCAGTCACCGCATGACAAGTAGAAAGACCCTCCTTAAGTGAGGCATTTCTGTTGTATTACAAAATGTGGCCTCAGATTCCTAATACATCTTTTTGCCAAGATGCTACAAATATTTAATCATAAAGAACTGGCAGCCAAATTCCTTCAGCGAATTTCACATTTGCACTGATAGTTCAGAAAAAAAAAAAACAACAAAAAAAAAAAAAACAAGATGAGGTTGAAATGACCTGACCCCCCACGCACAGCCAAAGGGAGAAGAGGCTCTCATGGCCACTCTGTCATGGCACCTATTGAGTTCTCAGCAAGCAGTGGTCCTTAAAGGGCTAGCAGTCGAGTGCTAATTGCCCGACTCAACTTTTGTACTTTTAGTCTCTATTTCAAGCTTTGACTTTGTAAGTCCATCCCCAACTAGATAGCTTCTTGTAAAGCCTTGAAGATATGTGCCTGTCCACCCCAAGTTTAGCACCCTTGGTCCATCTGTTTGTGAGAATTGTCACCACTGGTACTTGTTCCTCCTTTGGGGGACGATGATCTTTTGGGTGATGGCTGCTGTCATATATGATAAGGACCCTTCAAAATGAGGTACTAACAGGTTAGAAACACTTAAAGTATGCTCCTTGTCTTATTTCTACTCATATAGAAGTGCTAAAGTATGACTGTGATAGGAGCTGTGGGATAATGCCATCCCCAGACCACTTTACCCAGTAGGAAGAAGGGGATGGGCACTAAGATATTAATAAGAGCACCCCAAAGCCTAGACCTGTATGTAATAATACTCTAATGCTTTTGAGTCTTATTGTCATCAGCATCCAGGCTCTTTTGCACAATAGAAAACTATATGCTTTGGTTTAAGGGTAATTTTTGTTTGTTTTTTGGGGGGGCAGTATTGTTTCGTTTTTTAATTCCCAGAAGACTCTAATGTGTAAATCCCCTGGTGGCCAGTGTAGGAACTGCAAGTCTTGGTTATTTAAATGCAGATAGAATTCATTCCAAGACTGCTGCCTTTTCTCCTTTTCTCTGGCACACATGCGCACTCACCCTCGATCCCCACTTTGCTCCCTCCTAATTCTTTAAGTAATGGGTTGGGGAGTCAGGACCACTATTGAGGAGCAAAGCAACCCTCTCCCTGAGCCAAGACCTCTCCAGCTGTCCTCCATACATATGCTGGCTCACACTCATATTTCAGACATGCCCGCCTTAAATCTTCCCTAAGTGCTATCTTCTCAGGTTAATTAATCACCAGGCTTAAACTTGCTGTTACCAGCAGGAAGTCCATCCTGAAGTCAGCAATGTTACGATTGCATCTTCTAATACTGTTTATCCTGCATTAGTGTTTACTTAGGGGGAAAATTGATCCGTAATTGATATTTCAGTCTTCCAGAGCTGGTGTTGGAAGAGCCTAATGCAAGCCTTTAATAGCAAGCAAATATTTAAATCCCTTAATGGTTGCTGAATATTGAAATGTGTGACTTTATTACTCTTTTCGGTTTGTTTTCTCTGTAGTTGTGTATTTCATCCTTTAAACTTGCAACGGATGCTGGCAGGCTCCCGTCTAGCTAATCCACAAAAGCTGTTTGCCCAGACACAACAGTCGTGATTAAAAAGTATTGCTATGGATGGGGGTCTTCTACACTCATCAGTCTCTGCTAGCTAGTGATGAAATTACTATCCATCTCTCTCTCTCTCTCTTTCTCTCCCTCTCTCTAGGCCTGTTTTCTCTAACCTCCTCTCCCAGAATAAAGTGATGGGGGCAGCTGTAGTGTCGCAGTTAGGAGCATGAATCTTTTATCGTTTGGACAAGGAAGGGAAAATGCCATTACTGTCAACTGAAATGTCCTTCTTGGGTTTTTTGCTCCTACTTCGCTGCCAAAGCCCATTGCTGCTGCTCACAGCTGTTCTTCATGGCTTGATCCTTAACACAGCCAGAAACGCAGCCGGGAGATGCTTAAGACAGTTTATGGAAAATAATAGATTTCCTTGCAGAGACACCAAAGCCTCGAGAAGGGACTGGATTCGTGTTAGACCCAGCCAAGATCACCAGTTCTTTCCCTTTCTGGCCTCAGTTACAAAGCCTCTTGCTCAAAGCGCGCAGGCCCTCTTGAATTGTCTGTTTTCCTGGTTGCTTTCTATCCGCACCCGCAAGTTTCTGGCTCTGGAGCTCTTTGTCTCGTCCGCAGCCGCATGAGATCTGAGAAGAAACAGCACCTCCACAGTGGACAGAAAAGATGCTACAATGTGGAAAAGAACTCCCAGGAAAGCCAGCAGAGGCGAGCTGAGACCCAGCTCAACCCCATGGGTGTCCCAGAGACAGATGCCTATATTGGAGGCCACCACTGCCCCGCCAACACAGGGTGGGCTCCCCCCTTCCCCATGTGGCATCCCCGTGTCAGGAATGCCAAGAAGTGGTGTAGTTAGCCCTGCTTCCTCCAGCTATGCAGCCCTATCACCTTTCCAACTGTCAGCTAGCCCTTAGGAGCCTCTGGAAAGGACATTCCCTTGGGCAGACCAGGAGGGAGTGGCTTCAAATACTGGGGAAATACTTGTTAACGAATACTGGAAAAGCTGCAAGAATGGCAAGACCAGAGGCTTGCAGCTTCCAGACTGTTGATGCAAAATTAGGTCAAAAGCCAGTAGTCTTTCCCCCACCGTGCCTGGAAGGTGAAGGTAAAGAGAGGGGTGTGGCCCAAAGGCATCAGCCCAGCTCTCTCCCTTCCCCTCTCATTGCAGTCACAAGCATCCGCAGCTCAGTGCCACCACTCCCCCACTGCTTTATTCTCA